CCCCCAACTATTTCAATCTTTACACTGTGCACACATAAACACACGCGAAATAATTTTCAATTAGCTGCAATTAGAAATTCTTTTATTATCTTAACTATTCAAGCTATAAATATTATTTTATGTTTATTGGTATTTCTTATATATATATATATATATATATATATATATGTGTGCGTGTGTATTTATTTGTGTAAATTACAGTAATCCGAGCATAACCGTTTTCAAAAGGAAATCAATGTTAAAAATACGAGTATATTTATAATAAATAAAAATTATACAATTATGTTAGATAAAATAATATTTTTTTAAATATTGGTTACAGATTGAATTTTCAGTTAATTAATTGAATTTTATTTATTTTTATTTATTTCATTAAGGGGTAATAAAAATGTGTACATTTCTTTAATAAAAATTATTTCATTCATAATTCAATTCTATGACATCTCGAGTCAAGTTGGAAAATATTTACATATAATTAAGTGGCAAAAAACATTTATATGCTTAACGACATCTGATTTACGATCTTGACGAAAAAAGTAAATAAAGTTTGAAGTTGGAGCACTAAATGAACTAATGGCACTTAAAATTGCACGCAATATGGATATCATTGAAAACTTGCGTGTTATTTATTAAAATGATAGTTATAAAAATTTTAATACGATTTTAATATACGCAATGAAAGTTTAAACCTTGTCTTTGCAAATATATTAATTACTGTAGTGCTTTATATCTCTATGATAGAGCGATAGTTGGAGTTATTTATCTTTCCCGTAAACGAGCCCCAATGAATTAAATTTTAAAATAATAGGCTTATTACGCTTGCTTGTTATGGGCTTATTATTATTCTGAAAAGCTTATAGAAATTCATCATTTACTTTTCGTACTTGCTTTTGTGATTTTGGTAATCACTGATAACAGTGTGCGATGGTTGTAATTTTTCATTGAACGACTGCAAATTGCTACTTTCGTGGGGGACTTTCTTCTCCGAGTTTTTAAAACAATTATAGTAGAATATTTGTGTAAATCTTGCGTTTCGATTATTAAATTGTTAGAAGCATAATATAGTTAGAAAGGAATTCGTAGATCATTGTTGCAATACATTGTGTAAGTATTTACGATCGATGCACACTTCAAAAACTATTCGTATTTTCGTCAAGACGTGAATATTTTATTTATTACTTATATCATCATGCTTATGATTTATATTCATGTATAAATTAAGTTGATTAAATTAATGCTTGTGATGGAATTTATATTTAATAACTCGGGAACTTGGGTTATGCAGATCATTAATTTTGTAAATTAATTTTAAAATTATCTAATTAATAAGTAAGATCGTATATTATAGGCTGACGTATAATGATTATAATTCATTCATTTACGCAATGAGGAATGTTATAGTTAATTTAAAAATACCGGCGTCAAAGATCTTCCGCGCAAACTCTTGCAACATCATTTACTTATTTAATTTTTCTTTTTCTTTACATTTTTTTCTTCTTCTTAGTATTAATCATTCTATACAATCCATACATCCATACATATATATATATATATATATATATATATATATATATTATTCTACTACGAAGTGCACGTAAAGGTGAGAGATAATAAAAGAACCTGCCACCAACTTTGAAATTCTCTGAAAATACCTTGTAGTTTCAATTCCACACGATATCCAATTAGGAAGGATGATGATGGGCATTGGTAGGAAAGTCCTGGATTTCGTTTTACGTTTGAGGTTTCGAATGCCAGTAGCGCCAATGCGCCCAAAGGAAAAGGGAATCACGCAAAGAAAACAAGTCCTCGATATGAGTATATATATATATATATATATATATATATATATATATATATAGGGATATT